TTGAGTATTTACCCAAAAATTGGGTTTAAATTCATTAACTGCGGAACCAATCGACATAGGCTGCCAAAATTTTGCAAAAATGTTTTTAATGTCAAAGCAAATATAGAAATCGAAAATGGGGTCCCTGGATCCAAATTTTGATATAGCCCCCATATACCATATTGCAAATGGGATATATCGGTCCACGTTTTGGTGTAGCCCTCATATAACTGTACGTTGGGTTCGCATTGAATAACAAATATCCGTAACAAAAAATATTGACCCATGTTTCAGGGTACCCAACACCACACTGTGGTACAGAGTATTATGTCTCTGTGCATATGTATGTAACAGGCAAAAGGAAACGAGATAGACACATGGTTCCTTTTGAGAATATGCATAGAATCACTTTCTGAGTCGATTTATGAATGTCCGTGCGTCCGTCTGTCCGCCGGTTTGTCCATGCTAAATTGTAAACAAAGTACAGGTCGTATTTATGATTCAATTATTTGGCCCAAGGACGAACCCTATTGAAATTGGGAAAAATTAGTTCAGATTTAGATATATCCACCATATATATATATATATTCGTCCGATTTAATAGAAATGGTGCACCAAAGTCCCTATATATCCTTCGATTTGCACGAAATTTGGCATAGCGTACTGAATTAAGTCTAAAAAGATGTGTGTTCAATTTGGTGAATGTCGGTTCAGATTTAGATATAGCTCCCATATATAGTTTCGCCCGATTTTAGGTAAATAGTCCACTAAAGTCCCTATATATCTTTCGATTTGCACGAAATTTGGCACAGCGCAATGAATAAGGTCTATAATGATGTGTGTTAAGTTTCATGAAAATCGGTTCAGATTTGTATATAGCTCCAATATATATCTTCCTCCGATTTAAGGTAAATGGTGGATCAAAGGCCCTATATATCTTTCGATTTGCACGAAATTTGGCACAGTGTACTGAATTAAGTCTATAATGATGTGTGCAAAGTTTCGTGAAAATCGGTTCAGATTTAGATATAGCTCCCATATATATCGGATTTGCACGAATTTTGGTATAGGGTACTGAATTAAGTCTAGAATGATGGTGCTAAGCTTTGTGAAAAAATCCATAGCTAGGGCAATTGACACAACGTACTGAAGTAACATAAATTAGTCTCTGGCAAGTTTCCCTGAAATCGGTTCAGATCTAGATATATAACAAACACGCGACGTACGTTAGTATACATATGTAGAATATACCCAAAGTAATAAAGGGTATAATGTAGTCGGCCCAGTCCGACTTTACTACTTTCCTTACTGGTTTTTTTTTTGTTTAAATGGTTTAAACAGTTATGGTCGATTTTTAGCTAACATGCCGGTCAAATTCGAACATTTCTCCGATTTTATTGTCATTTTCGACGACCAATCTACATGTGCGATGTGCATCTTTAACATCAAGCATCAACAATTTCTGAACGGAATGTACGAAACAAAATTTGATTTGAGGCCAACTGTTCCTCTTTCATACCCTGGTATATTTTCGGAATCTTGTCTTCCCAGGGTGAATATTTAAGCCATAAGATGCAAGTGTTGTGATTTTACATTTGATCCAATTGATTTGACCCGCTGAATATTGGTCAATCATTATCAAAACAGTAATGCTTAATGGTAAGTATGGTGGCCATATCCCCTTCCCTGTGTAAAATTTGTGATGTTCGGCTTATAATAGTGCTTTCTAGAGCGACTAGGCAAAAATAGAGTTTTCTAGCTATTTCAGCACCTAAATGATGATATCAGGTCACCTCCAAAATTTATAGTCGTCGTTTTTGTTCACAAAATTTCAAAGTGATCTGCTCGATTTTCTATCCTCTAGAGTACGAAATCATATCAGAATAGGTAGGCCCACTGTAAATACTTACGTATAAGTCCCACATTCGAGTACATACAACAACATAATCGGTATCAATTTAAAGATCAACCACTCTTCTTGGATATACTGTCGACATCCACGGTCTATATCCTTTAGGAGAAAATTATACGCCATCGAATATATTTTTTTTAGATACCAGGAAAAAATTAAATATTTTACTCAAGACTAACGAGAAGCCTAATCGATGGTATTTCAGAGATTTTATTTTGCAATTTAATTCATTCAGGTAATTGAAACCATATTATGCACATCAATTCTATGATTTTTTTAAAATCTATAATATTGAGAGGGCTTCCCACATACCTGAATCAAATTTCCTAAAACCCTCACTTATTTGCATTTTAAATTGAATAATAAAAACATTTAGTTTCTTCTAAAAATAATCATCGCAAAAGTAGCGCTATCAATATCCAATCATCAACAAACCTCCACCTTTTCTGTGTTGCTACAATACGATATCGAGTGTCATTCATTATTCCGATTAAAACCAAATATTTTGTTATTATACAAATTTAATGGATATGTTTACACTTAACAAGCTCCTCCTCCTCTTCTCCTGTTTCCCCTTATTAGCCTGTATCTGTGTGCTATTTTCAGATATTTTTAGTTAAAATATTGTACATAAACTAAAACACTCACGCACACACATGCATCCATAGATGTGCATCTATGTTTACACAACTAATCTGCATCGCATACATTGATATTGAACTTATCCCAACATACCATTCAGTAATCAAATCTCAATACCACTTGAGAACAAGCTTATAATAATAGTTGTTCTTAAGCTTTTTTTAGTAATATTAAAAAAATGTTGTTAAAATTTGACTTCACAAACAGTTTTCAACTATGCTTGATAAACTATTGTTGTACACAAATGTTTCTCAAGAGTTGTATATTGAGATGACTAACCTTTATACACACTAGTTAAGATAAAATTACATTTGTAAGCTTATTCTACAATTGCAAGAATAAGCTTTTAGTAATATTACACAAGTAATTGTATCATAAGGGTTCCGTTTTGATTTTTCTACAATTATTAATAAACATTTCTCAAGATTATCTCAAGACTTTTTCAAGCTTAATGCTTTTGTGGTAAGCTTAATATAATATTATTCTCAATACTTTTGGTTTGTTGGGATCCTTCTACTTGTTTACATACATACACATTGTACATGTGTATATGTATGAGGTTACTCTTTCGTTAGCTATGCAAATAATCTCAACAAGTTGTTGTGGTTTGCGGATTTTTTTTAATACATGGCGTTTAAAATAAAGTCAGTAACGAGGCGGATAACTAAACCATGATGTACTGAACATTTTAGTGAAAAGTTAAAACAAAAGGTTTACGGTAATGGGAAATAATGCTCCGAGGTAAACAAATTTATATATAACTTGTTTTCTAGAACTCCAAAATCGAGATATGTTTTGGGCTAGAGCTCACATTTTTATACCCTACACAACTATGTTGTCAGGGAATTATAGCTTTGTGCAGCCCCAAAAGTTTGTAACGCCGCGAAATATTGGTCCTAGACCCAACTTTAAGTATACCGACCGTCATACCTCGACTAGCTGAGTCGATCTAGACATGTGTGTCCTTCAGTTCGTCTGTCCATTATAATTTGTAAACACGATACAGGCCACAGTTATGGACCAATCTTCACGAAATTTGGCATGTAGGATGGGTTTTGGCCAATGAAGACCCTTATTGTTTTTGGTAAAGATCGGTTAATATTTAGGGTATGAACTGGACCAAATATTAAATTTTTGTCGGTTTTTCTGGTCGCTCCAGAGGCCGTAGTTATGGTCCGAACATCGTGAAATTTTACATGGAGAAGGTGATCGGGCCTAAGAATTAGCATGCCTGTTTTAATAAAGATCGGTCAATATTTAGCGGGTCAAATGGACCCTGATTTTTGTGTGAAAAATTACAAAATTTTTATTCTGGGCCGTATATACTTGCTCCTGAAGGACATTTACCCGAGAAGTTGTTGACCTTCAAATTGATACCAATTATATGGCTGTGTGTACTCTGATTTGGGAGTTATATGTAATTAGGTAAAGGTGACTATGTGCATAGTATTACTATTACTCCATTGGAGGACGGAAATGTCGCGCTGATCGCTTTGAAATGATACATGAATTTCCGATTATGGTCCAGGACGACGCCTATAGTTTTCGGTGAAGTTGAGATTTCATTCAGGGGGTGCAATGAACCGAAAACTTTAATTTTGTCAGATTTTCTAGTCGCTCTAGAGTCAATTATTAAATGCAGATCATAACATATTTTAAAAGTTGAAAGTGATATGACCAAATAATTAGAGCAGCTGTTTAGATCATGATCGGTCAATTTTCCGAGGGTCAAATCAACCAAAACTTAAAGTGACCAATTTTTTATTTTACGGCGTAAAAATTCACTTCAAGAAAAAAAACAATATTGGTTAGAAAGTGGAGTTGTTGATCTATAATCGGTAAAAATGGTGCAAATATCACGAAATATTGCCCAGGCTCAGAATATAGAAACGACGAAAGTTTGCTTTTCGTGGTAGTTGTGTAGGGTATCATATGGTCGGCCCCGTCCGACTATACTGCTCCGCTCACTGGTTTATCCATACATCTTGTACAAAATTGTGTGTCAATCGAACAAACAAACTTTGCACAATTTACATACAATCGGACGAAAATATATGTGGGAGCTATATGTAAATCGCAACCGATTTTCACGAAACTTAGCACACATCATTGTGGTCTTAAATTAGTACGCTGTACCAAATTTTGTGCAAATTGAAAGATACATAGGGGTTTTGCTGCATCATTTACATAAAATCGAGGAAAATATATGTGGGAGCTATATGTAAATCGCAACCGATTTTTACGAAACTTAGCACACATAATTTTAGACCCAATCTAAATTTGATCCGAATCGGATCATAAATGCGACCTGTACTTTGTTTACAATTTATCATGTACAGACGGACGAACATGCATAAATCGACTCAGAAAGTGATTCATCAACTTTCGGTACTTTTTTCTCACATTTTCTGTCAATATGATCAAATTTTTGTATCACCTTTAACCTCTATTTCCATTTTCATTTCAGACGTATTATAAACAGCGGTCTAACAACAATACCGGACTTAACTTATTTGCCATCGACAAATATACTGCAAATGATGTAAGTAAAAGACAGATATTTCAATTTTATATTTATTTTATTATTAAACCTTAAGGCAACAACAAACACCAGGTTTTTTAATTTACGCAAAAAAATACTATTTTATTTACCTTTTCAGAGATCTCGATAATAATCACATAACTCGAATTGATTCCAAATCGATTAAAATAAAGACTGACCAATTGTAAGTGACAAAAATAAAACAAACAAAAAACAAAATTAAATTAATTTTCTTATAAATATATTTAGATAATATTTTTATATAACAAAAATTAAATTTATTTTTTGACATTTATTTTTTATTTTTAGAATTTTAGCAAATAATTATATAAATTATATAGATGATTCAGCATTTTATGGCTCTCAAATAGCCAAACTGTAAGTGAAGTTATTTACATAATTATTATTTAATTTATAAAAATATTGCTAATGAAAATAAAAATATATAAAATATTAAAATATCCGATTTTTCCTATTTTTTGCAGAATTTTAAAAGAAAATCGCAACCTGCGAGAAGTACATCCGAATGCATTTCATGGCATGAGTATGCAAGAATTGTGAGTATATTTACCTCAGAAAAAAATATTTTAGGAGAGACGAAGAGAGTCTCTACATAGAGTGGGATGTGAAGGGAGTCTATCATAGACGAGGTTAAAGGGAGTATATCATAGACGAGGCTGAAGGGAGTCTATCATAGACGAGGCTAAAGGGAGTCTATCATAGACGAGGTTAAAGGGAGTATATCATAGACGAGGCTGAAGAGAGTCTATCATAGACGATGCTGAAGGGAGTCTATCATAGACGAGCCTGAGGGGAGTCTTTCATAGACGAGGCTGAAGGGAGTCTATCATAGACGAGGCAGAAGGGAGTCTATCATAGACGAGGCTGAAGGGAGTCTATCATAGACGAGCTGAAGGGAGTCTATCATAGACGAGGCTGAAGGGAGTCTATCATAGACGAGGCTGAAGGGAGTCTATCATAGACGAGGCTGAAGGGAGTCTATCATAGACGAGGCTGAAGGGAGTCTATCATAGACGAGGCTGAAGGGAGTCTATCATAGACGAGCCTAAAGGGAGTCTATCATAGACGAGGCTGAAGGGAGTCTATCATAGACGTGGCTGAAGGGAGTCTATCTTAGACAAGCCTGAAGGGAGTCTATCATAGACGAGGCTGAAAGGAGTATATCATAAACGAGGCTGAAGGGAGTCTATCATAGACGAGGCTGAAGGGAGTCTATCATAGACGAGGCTGAAGGGAGTCTTTCATAGACGAGCCTGAAGGGAGTCTATCATAGACGAGGCTGAAGGGAGTCTATCATTGACAAGACTGAAGCTAGTCTTTCATAGACGAGCTGAAGGGCGACTTTGTTCAGGAGTTGAAGGGCGACTTTATAGACGAACTGGAGGGAGTCTTTATAGACGAGGAAAAAGGAGGATTTTTACACGAGCTGAATGAAGTCTTTATAGATGGGCTGAGGGCAGTCTTTATAGGCGAAATCTAGGAAGTTTTAGCAACGACTGAAGATGCTCTTTATAGACGAGGCGAAGGGAGTCTTTATAGGCGAGCTGTAGGGCGACTTTATAGACGAGCTGAAGGAAATCTTTGTAGACGAGGTGGATGAAGTCTTTCATAGATGAGCTGGATGAAGTCTTACGTAGACGATCTGAAAAGAGTTTTTATAGACGAGCTGTAGGAAGTCTTTATAGACGAGTTGGAGGAAGTCTGTTTAGACGAGCTGGAGGGATTCTTTATAGACGAGATAAATGGAGGATTTTTAGACGAGCTGAAAGAAGTCTTTATAGGCAAAATGTAGGAAGTCTTTAGCGATGAGCTGAAGGGAGTATTTTCAGATGAGCTGCTGGGAATCTTTCATGACATAAGTATGCAAAAATTGTGAGTATATTTTTCAGACAAAAAGAGAGTCTTTATGGACGGGATGGAGGAAGCGTTTATAGACGAGTTGAAGAGAGTTTTTGTAAACGGTGCGAAATAATTGGAAGTAATAGGAGCTAGTATTTATATAAAAACTTAAGGAGGTTTTTATGGATGGGTAGGATGGGGTATTTATAGAGAAGTAAAATCTGTAACGAATGGAAATGGTCCTTATAATTTATTTCATGTGTACAATTTAATGACACAATTTCAATTAATTAATTAATTTTTTTGTGTCCTTTGCAGAGATCTCTCCAGTACCTCTTTGGTGCGTTTGCCCTCGGCTGGCCTACAAGATATTGAAGTGCTGCGTATTGAAAATACCCACACACTGAAAACCATACCATCCATTTATAACTTTAAGGTAAATATTGAATGTGACATAAACCTAAACAGGAGATGTTTGAGAAGAAACACAACAACAACAAAGAACAGAAAAACAAACAAAACAATAAATCTACCAGCATCAGCAATTTATTGACAATTCTAAAACTTCTGTTTGCATTTGTTTTTTTCTTTCTTTATTTCTTTTTCATCTCTTCCTTTCAGAATTTACAAAAGGCTCATTTAACACATTCCTTTCATTGTTGTGCTTTTAAATTTCCCTCACGCCACGATCCACTCCGTCATGCCGAACGTCTAAAGGAAATCGAAAAATGGCAACAACAATGCACGAATAAAAACAATAGAGCAGCAAATAATTTACAGAAATTCGAGAAATTTACACAAAACAATAGAGCCACCGATGACTATGAGGAGCTGAGAAGTGGTGAACGAGGAGATGGTGTAGGAGGAGAAAATGCAGAATTTGTCAAAGGTACTTGGTCAACGCCACAGGTTGATTTGGGCGCCACAGCTGGTGTATGGCATCACAGTACGACACATGGTGATGAATTTCCGGTTACGGGGACAACTACGTCTGGCGTTGCCGCAACAACATCCTCAACCCTGGATACAAATCAACTCAATTTGTTGACAAATATCAACAGCATTCTATTCAGGTATGAGATGGGAAAAAGAAGGAGAGAGGGAGAGGGAGGGAAAATTACAAACATCATGTCAATAATAAAATTTGTTGAGTGTGTGTATGACTGTAGGGGCGGAGAGCATGTTTCATAAATTTAAACAAATATTTGATAGAGTTGCACACACACACGAGCATATTTTCATCAGAATTAATAGCAAATATGAACAAAACAATCGGGAAAATATTTTTAAAATAGGAAAAATTGAGCAGGAAGGACCATGTGAAGTAATGGAAATATTTATAAAGAACAGTAGGGAGTCTCAAGGAATATATTCAGTCAAATTTTTTTTTTAACAGGATGAACGGTGCCTTTCTAGTAGGATTGAATGGAGTCTTTGTAGACAACCTGAAGGGAGAACTTTTAGGATCATATAATGCAACCTAGAGGGAAGTTTTATAGACGAATAGTTGAAGCCTTGGAAGCTATAGGAGGTCTCTGTAGACGAACGGAAGGGAGATTTTGGAGACAGGATGAAGAATTTCTTAATAGAAAGCTGTATGGAGCCTACAGTCTTCAAAGATTTGTTTCTAAGTTTTTTCGAATATTTTGTATAGAATACAAATTATATATTTTTCTATGAAAAAGTATAGGACACTTGGACTTTTATTAGAATAAATTATTGGGTCCGGTGATTTTTTTTTGTATTGATAAAATGGGGATAAGGAGTTATGTGAATTTTTCCTATAGAAAAAATGGGGACCTGATGTCCTTTGAATTTTTTTCCTATAGAAAAAATGGGGACCAGGGGCCTTGAGATTTTTTTTCTATTCTTTTATTATTCTATAGAAAATATAAAAAATAAAAAATCTCAGGAACCCAGGTCCTATTTTTTCTATAGAATAAAAAATCACACAACTCCAGGTCCTAGAAAAAATCCATTTATTTTTCTATAAAAAATTCATAGGGACCCAGGAGCCATTTTTTTCTAAAGAAAAGTTAAAGGACCCCAGGTCCAATTTTTTATAGATAAAAATTCGCAGAAAAATTTATAGGGCGATAGGGCAATTTGTTTCACAGACCCCTATAAGGCATTTTACTACAAAAAAATCACGGGCCACCAGTTCCAAGTTTTTATACCCTTCACCACACTGTGGTACAGGGTATTATGTCTTTGTGCATATGTTTGTAACAGGCAAAAGGAAACGAGATAGACACATGGTTCCTTTTGTTTGCATAAAATCACTTTTTAAGAGCCATGTATTTTTGTTAACAAAGTACAGGTCGCATTTGTGATCCGATTTGGATCAAATTTGGCACAGTTCATTTATTTGGCCCAAAGACGAACCCTATTGAAATTGGGACAAATCGGTTCAGATTTAGATATAGCTCCCATATATATTTTCGTCCGATTTTAGGTAAATAGTGCACCAAAGTCCCTATATATCCTTCCATTTGCACGAAATTTGGCACAGCGTACTGAATTAAGTCTAGAACGATGTGTTTTAAATTTCGTGAAAATCGATTCAGATTTAGATATAGCTCCCATATATATTTTCTTCCGATTTTATGTAAATAAAAATATATCCTTCCATTTGCCCGAAATTTGTATTTGTAAATAAATGAAGAACTCAAAATGTGGCCGAATGAAAAAAAAATGCTGAAATAAGTGTAACCTAACATGTGACAAGTTTCGATGAAATCGGTTTAGATTTCGATATTTTGCTTTAAATTTAATTACATAATTTTGTCCCTTTGTAATATTTTTCTATAGAAAAAAGTAGTACGGAAGGAACTCGGTTTTTTTCTGTAGTAAAAAATTGTTCTGAATGACCTCGCTTTTTCTATAGTCCTTTTCCATAGTCCTTTTTCCATAGTAAAAAAAAGTCCAAAAGGACATGATATTTTTCTATAAAAAAAATAATAATAAATAAATAAACATCACGGCCACCAGGTCCAAGATTCTTCTATTGAACAAATAGTTCCGAAGGACCTCAAATTTTTTTCTAAAGAAAAAAGTAGGACGAAAGGACCTCGGTTTTTTTATAGTAAATAAATAGTTCTGAAGATAAAAAATAGTCCTGAGGGACCTAGATTTTTTCTATAGTAAAAAATTGTCCTGAAGAACCTGAATTTTTTCTATAAAAAAAAATCCAAGTTTCTATAGAACAAATAGTTCTGAAGGACCTCACATTTTTTCCAATAGAAAAAAAAATCGAAAAAATTATCCCGAAGGACCTTTGAACTTTTTTCTATTAAAAAAAATAGTCCTCAAGGATCTCACATTTTTTTATAGAAAAAGTATTATTGAAGGATCTCGATTTTTTCGTACAATAAAAAAAGTTCTGAAGGACCTTGATTTGTTTTTATAAAAAATTGGTTCTGAAGGACCAGCAGTAAAAAATATCTTGAAGGACCTCGATTTTTTTCTTTAGCAAAAAAAGGCCAGAAGGACCTCAATTTGTTTTTATAGAAAAATATTACTGAGGGACCTCGAATTTTTTCTATAGAAAAAAATAGTAAGGGACCTCGATTTTTTCTGTAGAAAAAAAATATTTTTTCCAGTAATAGACTATAAGCTTCAGGACTGACTTTTTTTATAGATACAATAAAAAAATTCTTCAAGACGAATTTTTATTTAGTTTTCTTTAATTCCAAGAATATAGTTTTTGATTTTCTTTGGTTATCGAATAACATTTTTTTTTATTTTTATTTTTTTGATTTGACCTTAAATATTTAACATGAAGTGATACTGAAAAGTAAAAAAAATCTAAAGGTGGTTATGTTGTTGACATTTGAATTGCAATTTCAAATACAGCCCCATACGATGGGAGGAATGCTAACAATCATAGTTCAGGGTATTTACCCAAAGGAATACCATATAGCATTTTACAATTTTGGGCAATACTACCCCAGTTTGGGTAAACATTTGTTTTGGACAAATCACTGTTGACATTCACAACACAGTTGTTTAAGGCCTCTTCAAATGGAAGAGGCCTGTACATGAAGTTGACCAAAAAAAATCTCCAATACATAGAGTAAAGGAAAAAATTTGTTGAACAAAAAACTTACCTATATCTTTATCTTGTTAAATTTTTATTCTAGCCGTTTAATGCGTTCCGACTTTCCAGTAGGAGATGACCAATTTGTAGGGGAATCGAATATGTGGTCTGAGCTGAAACCCAATTTAAATGACATCGAATATTTTGTCGATGAGAATGATTATTTGTCGGATTCAATGAAATCGGATATTGGCATATTCCACGAACCAATCAACACAGATTCAAGTCAATTGGATGAGTACTGTGGCAATTTTACTTTTAGGTAAGTATTTATTTTTTATTTACTTACTTATTTTGGAATGTGTCATTCAAGTGTATTTAAATAGAATTGGATTTATTGGAAACTTTGGGATATAAAAAATGTATTCTGGGAAATTGGAAAACTTTTATTTTTTTTGGAAAAATATTTTACGCTGAAAATGTTTGACAATCGCGACCTGTGAATTTTTTTCTATAGAAAAAAATAACCGACCTGGGGTCTGTGAATTTTTTCTATACAACAAAAAACAACCGATTTGGTGTCTGTGAATTTTTTTTAGAAAAAAATAGACCTAATTTTTTTCTATAGAAAAAAATAGAAAAATAGACCTGGGGTCTTGTGAATTTTTTTCTATAGAAAAAAAATATAGAAAAAAATAGACCTGGGGTCTTGTGAATTTTTTTCTATAGAAAAAAATAGACCTGGGGTCTTGTGAATTTTTTTCTATAGAAAAAAATAGACCTGGGGTCTTGTGAATTTTTTTCTATAGAAAAAAATAGACCTGGGGTCTTGTGAATTTTTTCTATAGAAAAAATAGACCTTGGGTCATAAAACTGGGGTCTTGTGAATTTTTTTCTATAGAAAAAAATAGACCTGGGGTCTTGTGAATTTTTTTCTATAGAAAAAAATAGACCTGGGGTCTTGTGAATTTTTTTCTATAGAAAAAAATAGACCTGGGGTCTTGTGAATTTTTTTCTATAGAAAAAAATAGACCTGGGGTCTTGTGAATTTTTTTCTATAGAAAAAAATAGACCTGGGGTTTTTTTCTTGTGAAAAAAAAAATAGACCTGGGGTCTTGTGAATTTTTTTCTATAGAAAAAAATAGACCTGGGGTCTTGTGAATTTTTTTCTATTTTTCTATAGAAAAAAATAGACCTGGGGTCTTGTGAATTTTTTCTATAGAAAAAATAGACCTGGGGTCTTGTGAATTTTTTCTATAGAAAAAATAGACCTGGGGTCTTGTGAATTTTTTCTATAGAAAAAATAGACCTGGGGTCTTGTGAATTTTTTCTATAGAGGCAAATGCATTGAATCCCTGCGAAGATGTGATGGGCTATCAATGGTTGCGTATTTCCGTCTGGATTGTTGTAGCCTTGGCCGTCATTGGAAATGTTGCTGTACTTGTGGTGATTCTATCCATCAAGTAAGCTATTATGGAATAGAATTATTTTCATGTAAATGTTTTTTGTTTTCTTATCCAAGAAATTAAATTTTTTATTTCTATTTATTTCCTTTGTGTTCTTTTATATTTAGGTCAGAATCCCCCTCGGTTCCAAGATTTCTTATGTGCCACTTGGCCTTTGCTGATTTATGTTTGGGTCTGTATTTGCTGCTAATAGCCTCCATTGATTCTCACTCGATGGGCGAGTATTTTAATTATGCCTATGATTGGCAATATGGTGAGTATGAAGTGGGCGAAATATTTCCATTAAAATTCCATTTATCAAAACATCAAGTAAACATATTAGAAAAGCAATATTTAAGGAAGTTATTACCTTCATCGTAATCATAGACCTCCATTATCTTAATCCTCTTTGTCTATTTATCATCCTATACATTTCTTTTTTATATGTATTTCCTCAATCTCAATTAGCCTCACATTCATTTTCGTTCGATGTATTTTTCTTCCCCTATAGGTGCTGGCTGTAAGGTAGCCGGCTTCTTAACAGTCTTCGCCAGTCACTTGTCCGTATTTACATTGACCGTAATCACCATTGAACGTTGGTTGGCCATAACCCATGCCCTCTATTTGAATCATCGCATCAAATTGCGACCAGCAGCTTATATTATGATGGGCGGCTGGATTTATTCGATTATTATGTCCTCGTTGCCATTATTCGGTATAAGCAACTACTCTTCGACGAGGTAAGTGGTACAAAAATTACAAAAAAACGACACGACAACAGGTCCATTCAGTAAACTTCAGGTCGATTTTTGCTAAAGAAAATAATGAACAGGAAAGTTGGACCAGGTTGGACCAGGTTCACGACAACAAAATTTCAATGAACCCCAGGTCCATGCTATTATATAGGGAACAACTAACAAAATATCAGGCTCATTTTTTTTTAAAAACTAACAGGTCCATTTTTATCTATAGAAAAAAATTCACAGTTACACTGGTCCATTTTTTTACAGAAAAAATAGCAAAAAAATCATAGGGCCCCATGTTCCCATTTTTTTCTATAGAAAAAATCTTTACGACCCCAGGTTCCCATTTTTTATAGAAAAAAATTCACAGGAACCCAAGGTCCCAAGTTTTTTCTATAGAAAAAATTCGCAGGACCAGGACCCAAGTTTTTTCTGTAGAAAAAAATTCACAGGACCAGGACCCAAGTTTTACTGTAGAAAAAAATCACAAAACCCCAGGTCCCTAGTTTTTTCTATAGAAAAAAATTCACACGACCCCAGGCATCAAGTTTTTTCTATAGAAAAAAAATTCACACGACCCCAGGTCCCAAGTTTTTTCTATAGAAGAAAAAATCAGACGACCCCAGGTCCCAAGTTTTTTCTATAGAAAAAAAAATCACACGACCCCAGGTCCCAAGTTTTTTCTATAGAAAAAAAATCACAGGACCCCAGGTCCCAAGTTTTTTCTATAGAGAAAAATTCACACGACTCCAGGTCCCAAGTTTTTTCTATAGAAAAAAAATCACAGGACGCCAGGTCCCAAGTTTTTTCTATAGAAACAAATCACAGAACCCCAGGTCCCAAGTTTTTTCTATAGAAAAAAAAAATCACAGGACACCAGGTCAAAAGTTTTTTCTATAGAAAAAAATTCACAGGACCACAGGTCCCAAGTTTTTTCTATAGCAAAAAATTCACAGGACCCCAGGTCCCAAGTTTTTTCTATAGAAAAAAAATTCACAGGACCCCAGGTCTAAGTTTTTTCCATAGGAAACAATTATTTCTTTAAATTTTACAAAAAATTGAGGGACAAAAAATTCGAAGGACTTCAAATCCCTATTTTCTTATATAAAAAGACTGGACCGTAGTTATAATTATTGTTTTATCTTTTCTTCAGTATTTGCTTGCCCATGGAAATTCGTGATCCTTTTGATACCGCCTATCTGGTGGCCATAATGGGTCTAAATGGTGTGGCATTCTTTATTATTGCAATTTGTTATGGCCAAATATATTTGTCGTTGGGTGAGGAGACCCGTCATGCTCACAGCAACTCGACGGGAGAGATGAGTGTGGCCAAGAAAATGGCTTTATTGGTAGGTGATACATTGCCGATTTCTATAAGGACATTAAAATATTCAAGAAATTTGTTTTATTGTTTTTCAGGTCTTTACAAATTTTGCCTGTTGGGCGCCAATAGCATTTTTTGGCCTAACAGCATTATCCGGCTATCCTTTGATTAATGTAACCAAATCGAAAATATTACTTGTATTCGTGTATCCATTGAATTCCTGTGCGGATCCATATTTATATGCGATTTTAACATCACAATATCGTCAGGATTTATATCTGCTGTTGGCAAAGTAAGTATATTAATTTTTTACAGGGTGGGATACATCGAATTAATTTCCATTTAAATTTGAGCACCATTCACAAGTATCAGAATTCGTGATTCATTGTTACTTTTTTCTTGGAATAATCCGCATCTGTCTATCAATTTTCTTAAAATTTTATTTCTTAAGAAAACATTCACATATTTAAAACATTTCAACAACTTTTCTCATCATTTGTTTGGTTTCTCGCTATCTCTCTCTCTCTCTCTGTACACAGGTTCGGTCTCTGCCAACAAAAGGCACTGCAGTACAAAAACAGTATTTCCTTTCCGGCCACCTCCAATTATACCTGTTCCATACAGAGGCACGGTTCTTTAATACCGAAGATACAAAAGAACAATAGTACCCCGCCACCTGAAACTCAAATAATGCTGCAGGGCAAAGAGGATTTTGTCTGAGACAGCGTTACAAATCGAAATGAGATTGTGACAACAACAACAACTACATGAAGTATTGATACAATGACAACAAAAAACATACCAAAACATTAGAAATAGACTTTAAGTCATATTTGCTATTAATTTTATTTGTATTTAATTTAAATATTTTATTATTTAATTTTTTAAATATTTCTATTTTCGTAAAAAATGGTATATAAGTCAGAGACTTATAGTAGATATGAACAAAATGTATGTAGCTAGGCTATTAGATAGATGTAATTATTATAATGTATATAATAGGGTGTACCGAAGAACAATCAAGGGAATTTACAATTAAATGTTAACTCAAAAATCAATTTTCTATAGAAAACCCACACGATTCACATTTTTATTTAAACAAAGGGTTTCTCAATAAAAACAATTACAGAATCTCACGTTTCAGGGCTTTTCTATAGAAAAAAAAATCACAGGACCTCAGGTCCCCAGATTTTTTTATAGAAAAAAATTCACAGGACCGCAGGTCCCAAGTTTTTTCCATAGAAAAAAATTCACAGGACCCTAGGTCACAAGTTTTTTTCTATAGAAAAAAATTCACAGGACACCAGGTATTTTTTTCTATAGAAAAAAATCACAGGACCCCAGGTCTTATTTTTTTCTATAGAAAAAAATCACAGGATCCCAGGTCTTATTTTTTTTTCTATAGAAAAAAATCACAGGACCCCGGTCTTATTTTTTTCTACAGAAAAAAATCACAGGACCCCAGGTCTTATTTTTTTCTATAGAAAAAAATCACAGGACCCCAGGTCCCAAGTTTTTTCTATAGAAAAAATTTCACCGGACCCCAGGTCCAAAGTTTTTTCTATAGAAAAAAATTCACAGGACCTCAGGTCTAAAGTTTTTTTTATAAAAAAAAATTCACAGGACCCCAGGTCCCAAGTTTTATCTATAGAAAAAATTCACAGGACCCCAGGTCCCAAGTTTTTTCTATAGAAAAAAATTCACAGGACCCCAGGTCCCAAGTTTTTTCTATAGAAAAAAATTCACAGGACCCCAGGTCCCAAGTTTTTTCTATAGAAAAAAATTCACAGGACCCCAGGTCCCAAGTTTTTTCTATAGAAAAAAATTCACAGGACCCCAGGTCCCAAGTTTTTTCTATAGAAAAAAATTCACAGGACCCCAGGTCCCAAGTTTTTTCTATAGAAAAAAATTCACAGGACCCCAGGTCCCAAGTTTTTTCTATAGAAAAAAATTCACAGGACCCCAGGTCCCAAGTTTTTTTCTATAGAAAAAAATTCACAGGACCCCAGGTCCCAAGTTTTTTCTATAGAAAAAAATTCACAGGACCCCAGGTCCCAAGTTTTTTCTATAGAAAAAAATTCACAGGACCCCAGGTCCTAAGTTTTTTCTATAGAAAAAAATTCACAGGACCCCAGGTCCTAAGTTTTTTCTATAGAAAAAAATTCACAGGACCCCAGGTCCTAAGTTTTTTCATTAGAAAAAATTCATAGGACCCCAGGTCCCAAGTTTTTTTCGATAGAAAAAATTCACGCGGGGTCCGTCCCTTTTCACAGAACTTTTTTCTATAGGAAAAACTTTAAAAGTTTTTTTTGTTCATTACAAATTCCCCCTTTGTTTTTACTTCGACCCATCCTAATATAGTTTATATACAAAAACCTATTTATTTATGTGACATGTGAAAATAATCGAACTTTAATCGTAATATATATTTGTATAAAATACAACTGTTTCTAAGAAACTAATTGAAAAATTGAAGAAAAACAAACAATTTGATGTTCCAATATTTATATGAACCAGAATTTTAAAATAAGAGAAAAAAGAGAATCCAAAAAACAAAAATATATATTTATTATATGTGTGCTTGTGTAAGATAATATTGATTGATCAATGGTACAAAATTTATTCATGTGACATAGATCTCTTGGTAAGTCCAGGTTTTTTTACAATAAAAAATCATCCAATGAAAATACAATAAAATGTGATTAAACATTAAAAAAAATGTGGCATTCATTCTAAATATAAAAAAGATCTAATAATCGTTATCTAAAATGTCCGTAAAAAAACCGTAATAATCACTATCATAATTTAGGGGAAAACCTTATAAAATGAAAACTGCTCCTCGGAATTTTAATTTCAATTTATTGGTCATTCAAAAAATATTATTTTATATGGATCACATATACCTTAAACGATCTGAATTACGCTATAAACCCCGGCCTATTAAATCATTAGTTCTCAGTGCATTTAAAAAGAGCAGTTAGATCGATTTAAACCCCGTTTTTTATTTGTTCCTAATGAGGGCGTATACGTTGTGTCATTATTTATACGCTCCATACCCCCTGCCTTAAATGGAGTAAAATCTAAAATATTTATTAAGATTCCGTTTAAGGTGATGTAATTTTGTGTGCTTGATAAAACGTGAAGACTCTTCAATTAACCCACTTAACGAATTGAATACATGTTATTACACAAAACAAAATGTGAAAGGAGTATTAGATTTGATTTAGACGTTTCACTTAAAACGAGGTCTACTAATCGTCACTACTAAATCGCCTAAATCGTCACTGAGCAACCCTTCTGAACTAATATCCATTTTTTTCCTTATTCCTAGCGAGGGCGTATACGTTGCGACAACACTTATACGCACTAAACCGTTAGACTTGTATTAACATGTTTAATCTTTCTTGAATAGATCCTGATGTATTAATTTAGATTTCGGATAAGGCGATGTGATCTATTTATTGTACTGCATAGTACATTTTGATGCCAGCGATATTCTTTAAAAGCCCAACTTTAAAGCTCTGAAAATCCTTAAAAAGTTTTTTTCTTTTTTTAAATCAACGTTTATAACTTCGAAAATCGATACATACTAATATTGTAATCCGACCGAACTAATTGCCGTTTTTACTTGTTTCAAATAAGGACGTATACGTTGTGACAACACTTATACGCACCATATTCTCCGGCTTTTATTGAAATATTAAGTGATGTGATTTTTTGACTGACACACAACTTTTTTAACGGTCACGCCTCAAATTCGATTCAAACTTCGTTTATAGCTCACAGTTATGGACCAATCTTAATAAAATTGTACATGTGGGATGGGTTCAGGACAAGGAAGACCCCTAAAGATTGGTTAATATTTGAATATTCGGGTATGTAATGGACCAAAAACTTTATTTTTGTCTGATTTTCCGGTCGTTACAGAGGCTGCAATTATGGCCCAAACATTGCGAATGTTTACATGGAGTAGGGGATCGGGCCAAAGAAGAAGCATGCCTGTTTTGATACAGATCGGTCAAAATTTCGCGGGTCAAATGGACACTGACTTGTGTGTGAAAAATTACAAAATTTGTATTCTGTAACGTATATATTTGCCCCTGAAGGACATAGACCCGAGAAGTTGATAGTATATCCAAAAGGAGTGGTTGTCAATTAAATTCATACCAATTACATTGTCGTATGTATTCGGATGTGGGAGTTACACATGAATATTTACAGGTGATTACGTATTCAGATATTATTTAGTAAATCCATTACCACACTAGAGGGAGGAAATATAGCGCTGATCGCTTTGAAAATTTCCATGAGGATCCAGGTATGGTCAAGGACAACGCCTATAATTTACGGCGATAATCAGATAATAATTTTGGAATGAAGTGGACCGAAAACTTATTTTTTTTTTTTGGTGTTTTTTTCGAGTCGACCTATAGGCAGGGAACGGAAATATAGCTGTGATCACTTTGAAATTTTCCACGATGTTCCAGTTATGGTCAAGGACAACGCTTATAATTTTCAGTGATGATCAGACAATCATTATACCCTTCACCACACTGTCGTACAGGGTATTATGTCTTTGTGCATATGTTTGTAACAGGCAAAAGGAAACGAGGTAGACCCATGGTTTCTTTTGAGAATATGCATAGAATCACTTTCAGAGTCGATTTACGCATGTCCGTCCGTCTGTTGATGTTAAATTGTAAAATAAGTACAGGTCACATTTATGATCCGATTTGGACGAAATTCGGCACAGCTCATTTATTTGGCCCAAGGATGAACCCTATTGAAATTGGTGAAAATCGGTTCAGATTTAGATATAGCTCCCATCTACAGTTTCTTCCGATTTAATGTAAATGGTGCACCAAGGTCCCAATATATGTTTCGATTTGCACGAAATTTGGTATTACACACTGAATTAATTTTAGAATGATGTGTTATATTCAGATTATATTACCTAAATGTACCTATATATAATTTCGCGCGATTTCAGATAAATGGTGCACCAATTTGGTATAGGCTATCGGTTCAGATTTACATACACCTATATATACATATTTTTGTCCGGTTTTGACCGATTGACACAACGTATAGAAGTTTATACAAATTAATATCTGGCAAGTTTCCTTGAAATCGGTTCAGATATAGATATAGCATAGCTTCCATATATAATTTTTACCTATTCATGGTAATTGTAAACCAAGTAATCAATGGATGTCTAATTGAGATAAAATTTTAAACAGTGAAGCACACCAAATAGCCTGTATCAAGTTTGTTTCAAATCGATTCAGGGATTGATGTTGGTAGGTTTAGATATAGACAAATATCACATAATTTAGTTCGTTCAATTGCATGTCAATGTTCTTTCTAAAAGGCGACGTCTGTTAGGATACATATGTAAAATATACCCAAAGTGGTGAAGGGTATCATATAGTCGGCTCAGTCCGACTTTACTACTTTCCTTACTGGTTTTGGTATAAAGTGAACCGCAAACTTATTTTTTCTTTGTGTTTTTTTCGAGTCGATCTATAGGCCACAATTGAAAGGCGAACATTACAACCGAATAGCACATGTAATTAGAAGGACTGTACTGAATATTAGTAATATTTGTTGACCTCTAGTCGGTCAAGAGAGTGCAAATATCGCAAAATATTGCCCAAGTTAAGAATATAGAACCACAGAAAATTAGATTTTCGTAGAAGTTGTGTAGGGTATGATATGATCGGCCCCGTCCGACTATACTGCTCTGCTTACTGGTTTGAAATAG